ATACATAAATTATTTTAATTAGTTAATTAATAAAATCAAAATCAATATTTATATTTTCAATAAAAATTAATTATTAAAAAATATATTAAGGCTTACATAAGACTTACATTCTAACCTTTTTACCTTCCGAACCAATCAAAAAATCTAATTACTAAAATCACGTTTAGTTTAGACTCAGATTAGTTTTTATAATTGTAAAACATTTTTTATTTGCTTGAATTATTGTAAAAATAGTAAAAATTTAGTCTTTGTTATTCATGTTCTATATTTATTAGTCCAAAAATAATTTTAAAAATTATTGAAATTAAAATGAGCAGTAATCATTTGTACTTTTTCTAGAGCTAAAATCTTTTGTATTCAAAAAATTTGGAGGTTTTGTAGTTTATGGTATCCTACATGGTACAAAAATAATCTATTAATTTATTAAAAGTCTTGTAAATAAAAGTTTTACTTATTGAATTAAAATTTATATTGGATTTTTGCTTAAACCCTTATTAAGCCCTCAAATTTATCTTAAAATAGCATTTAAGTCTTTAAAAATTAAAAATAAAGCAAATAAACCCTTAAAAATTAAAAATAAAACAGATAAACCCTCTGACTATATTATCAAAGCAAATAAACTCTTCTCATTAATGGGTGTTCATGCTTTCAATGTAATATTAAATATGAAACACCATTTGGTTAATTTATGAAAAATCCTTATTTGCATTGTTAATGGAGTTAGAGGGTTTATTGGATTTATTTTTAGTTTGAGGGTTTAAATATTATTTTAAGATAAATTTAGAGACTTAAGGAGGGATTTTACCTATAATTTATTTGCTTTTGGACTTGGCAGCAATTTACCTCCCCTAGATGTGTAAAAACATTTGATAAACGTCAAATATCATCTAGTATAAATGCCGTCCGTGATTCAAGCAATGTCCACAACTCAAGTAAGGCATTGAGTTTTAAAATCACAACAAATTAAAATTAATTGACTCATGCTAGATTCCAGCAATTGATTTCGTAAGACGTAATCCACCATTAAAGTTTCAAATCATGAGAATCTTGGGTGCATGATCATAGGAGCAACGGTTACTTCTAGCAAGACTCAATCAAGTATTAAAGATTAAAATTAAAATATTGAGTGATTATTGACCAACGACTATTTCTAAAATTATGGTTTAATAAACATTTAAATTTTGTATTGTAATTGTATATAAATGAAAATATACAACCACTTTTAGCATCTTGTAGAAGGGTTTTTTCTTCACAAAACTATTTTTAATTTTTTTTTTTAAATTTAGGCATTTAGGGCATAAATTAAAGTATTTTTTAATTATAAATATATATAAAAATTGATATTAATTTTAGTATTGATATTTAATGAATAAATTTAGATAAAAATTGATAAATTAAAGATTAATTTTTATTTTTTATACAAATTTATAATAAAAAAATATTTTATTATATTTTTAACTTGTATTCTTATATTAAAAAAAAAAACCCCCTTTTTCATTTTATCTTACAACATGTGTGGTCATCTCTTGTATTTGCCTATTAATTGTGGGATACATAGGATCAGAGAATGTATTTTGTTAGCTCCCAAAATGCTCTTTGTCAAAAGTTGGCTCACTCCGTGAGATGTTTGAAGTGGCGTTTATTTAACAACTATCAGTTTCTTAATTTTTAATAAGAGTTTATCTATTTTATATTTTAAAGAAGTAATAATTGTACATATATTATTTTTTATCTTAAAAATAATAAAAATTGATTTTTGTTTTAATTGTAAATACCACATATTAGTTATTTATTTATTTATTTTGAAATCAAAATTAAAATTTATTTTTTAATTTAACATTTCATATTTTTTAAAAAAATATGTGACAATTATTAATTAATAATTAGTTCTTATTCTATGCCTTTAGGGTTATAAAATAGATAACTTTTTTTAATAATAATAAATATTAATTATCAACTATCAATTATATTTGAAAAATTAATCCAAACACCCCCTGTATATTTTGGATTAACCTAGAGCTGGTATGAACACAACAAATTTCTACGAAACTTCCTGTTTGTGAAAGAAGATCGAAAAGAACATATTGCTTTTCGTGAAGAATGAAGAATCTAAAGACTAGTAATTTTTTTATAAGCAAAACCGAGTGACTTTTTGATATAATAAGCATAATCAAGCAACTTTTTATGGGAACAAATGAATGCATATTTCCATGCGCGTGATCTCGGTACTCATCATATAATATTGTCTGGAGATGCAATGCAAGACATTGTTGCGTGGTTTCAACCAATAAAATGGAGGGAGGGAGTATTTCAATTCTAATTTACACCATAAATTAGTTAGAGGATGACTTTTTGTCTCCAACAAAACCCATGAATCCCGCATTTTCACGTGTTTAGAGCACGTTAGAGACGCTGTAAAAGGAAAATAATGGTTCTGGTGAAGCATCTCTAGACTAGGCATTTTTAAAGAGTACAAGTGGGCAACTGACCTTGGTAAACACCATAAACAAAGTGCCGACTCTCTTTTCCTAGTTCGCTGAATTAGAAGTACGTGTCAGCCTTCTGAGCAATTCCAGAACTCATTCATAACTTTTACTTTCTGTGCAATTTAATCCTTATCTTTTTGATCTCTGCAGTTTGATCCTAAAAGTTACAATTTCTTCCAAGTAAGTCCTCTGCTATATAAAGAATAAAAAAATGTAAAATCAAGTAAAATTTCATAATTCATCTAAATATTAATAATATCAAGACAAAAATTTTATATTAATATATATAAAAATTGAATTCATCAACCTATTTTTCATTTTTTAAAATTAAAACAAAATTAGTACACTTAGGCTTATAAAAGCTTAAATGCTGCATTTCTCTTAAACATATTCACGTGCTTTGTGGCCGTTAGAGCCATTGTGGAACAAAAATATATTGCTTTCGGTGAATATTAAGCATTTTTTATGAGCACAA